GCTAATATAAAGTGAGCTTATAACAGTTGCATTTGAAATGGCGTTTTTAAAACCGCTAAAGAATTGTCAATGAACTTGGAATGCTGTTTACAGCTTTAAAGGAGATAGAAGCAAAGCGGCGAGATGTTTACTTAGTACAGCACAGACGGAAATATTTATAATCTTTTGGTTTTAAAGAGCATTTACACTTCTAAAGGAATTTTGTAATCAGATTAGACCACGTATTACCCTGAGATGGGTACTCTGCTTTCTTAACTGAATGTATTCGCCTTGTATGTTTTGGTTTGTTAGGGTCTGACAATTTCTGGCAAAGACTTTTCCGTTTGGTTTTAAGTGAGGTGGGTATATTGTTTTAAACAGGAAGAAGGAAAATGATTGGCAAGGTCTTAAAACTACTGAAACAGTACGTATAATAACATAATTTGATATATATAAAAAAAACTTTTCCAAGAAGCTCACGCCCCGACCCCACTCCCCTTTTCCTAAACCCCTTCCCCTAACTCTTAACCCTCCAAGTGCTGAGTACCCCAGAACGGTGCTCTTTAACAGTTTAAGGAATATGGTTTCTGACGTGCATACACGCACTGCAAAACGGTTAGAAAAAACGTTGAAATTTCTTGTGTATTCATAAATAAAGTACTCTTTTATTTTGTTAAGATTGTCACTGTGCTTTTAAAAATCCCTTAAAATCAATATTTATCGAAGTGAAAATACAAAGTTCGTGTCATAAGTTCTCGAGTGGATTGGTAGTACATGCCCAACCTTGGAGCGCCGGAGTGGTTTCCTAGAATCAGTGGTCACATCACAGGATTTCACTCAGGGGCACCCAACGAGGATATAGTTCAAAACCACTTAACATAGCATTGTTGAACGTATTTCAGTATTCAAACGGTAGATATAGGCATATTTTTATCCCCTAAAACTTTCATCTGTTCCGGTGTTTTTTCCGAAAATTATAGGGAGCAAAACTTACCTTTTTTTCATTCGTAGGGCCTTTTTTTACCCAAAAATGACTCAAAAGTTAGAACTCACATATAAATAAACAGCACTACGTTTAAGTACTGCTGAAGAAGTTTCGTTTAAATGGCAACACCATAGGATTTCATCCACGGAATAAAAAATTCAAACTACATAGTAAATAAATAGGCCGTGTGAAAGTACTGTTGAAGAGGATTCATTTGAATGGTCAGACATAAAATCCTTTCACAGCCTCAAAAGGTAGGAGTGTATTCGTGTCACCATGAGTGAATCTGGGAGCGACAGGGGCCAATCGTTCATGAATCAATCTCACTCTTTTTTGACAAAGGACCCCAAACGACTTCTAAGGTTACGTTGAAACGGTTAGAAGGGACCAGGCTACAATATGGGACCAAACCGTACGTTCAATTGAACCGGATTTTCATACCGCTACCCGAGGCATCGTAATTCACTTCCTTGATAGAACTACATCATAATGGACTTTCTGGTCACGAAACATACTGACTTAATTAAATTGAAATAAAGAAAATAAAATTGACAAACCCGTGGAAGGTGATGTATCTTTAGGAGACCACAATCAATGAAAAATCCTTCAGATAGAAAAGACAAGAGACTTGGCAATCAACTGTTCCTGTGTAGATAGATCTAAGACAAAGCATGAACACTATACCCTTGTCCAGCCCTCCCCTCCCCTCCCCCCACCCCCAAATCCAAACTGACGCTTTGCTCCGGTTCAAACCTCAAAGGATACTCGGAAAACCAACCTAATAATAGATTATGAAAAAGGGAAAAAAACATTTCCGATTCATGCTGCGCACATGTCTTTGATCTTTTTTCATCTTTTATTATCCTCTGCTTCTATCCCTTAATTCTCTTTATAATCACAGCATTTAAAACTCCAAAAACAATAGTTCACATTGGGCAGGGTTTATAAATAAATTATAGGAAAAACGTTTCTCACTGATAACACGTTATCACTACAGTACATATCTTCATGACTAGCTCACTCTGTACAGTAACTATTAATAATAGTACACTTAACATTCTTTGATGGCTTTTGTCTCCGAGATTGAGAATTTATTTTCGAAATGATCTTTCCGTATACCATACTATGAGTTCAAGGTTATATTGTGGTTAATTCTTCTCATGCCGAAGGGAAAAATAACTCCTTTAGATTATTGAGCACTCCAGCGCAAGACTTTTAATCGAAAAAGTTCTTTCTTGGAAGAAAGATCCACAAACGTGTAATTTGTATACATTACTCCATTAATTTCAATGCGGAAACTACGTCTCTACAGTTATCCCTTCACGCCAAGGTTAATAATGAAGGTCAGTGAAAGAGTCCTTTGACTTTTGAATCCTTGGGCGCGCGCAATCCAATGGGACGGTTCAAATGCAACCTGCTCTTCACTAGCACCTTCCTATTTCACCCTTTTTTCCTCAATGTTCTACAACATGGAATTTTTTGTTACTAAATTTAACATGTTTGAGACTCAAAGGTTTAAAGATTACCCATGCTGTCGGTTTAACGTAGTAAGTAGTTGAATAAATAAACAGTTCTACGAGTCCATGATATCAGTTTTCTTAGCTTTGCTTCAGATATCTCTGGGTAAATTAATCTTGCGAGAGAGGGATTTAATTTCATAAACCGCCCAAGATAGGGCACTACCGAAACAATAAAACTCCGTCATGAACTACCCTTCATCGCTGAGGTTAAAGGCAAAAACGGAAACTCGGGGTTTAATAGCATAAATGGTAATATTCAGATATTAAAGAATGATAATGGACATTTTTAGATGTCAATGGAGCTTATTTACGGGGTAGATGGCGAGTTCTGCTCCATTTAATTAGTTGGCTCGCATCAATTTTCCATGTATTCCTAAACAGCCTGGAATCTTGCATTTCTAAACTCTACTGGAAAAACCACGGAAACCAAATGCGCCCTTCCTTCCGAAAAATAACGGTAAAAGCAGCCAAAAATGATAACGAAAAGGATCGAAGAAGATGTTTCCCATCGAAATTATAGTAAAGACAGGATTATCTGCCTCAATAGCACAAGGCCACCACAGATTCTGTGATTGTTGTAATGTTTGAATTTAGAGGAAATGTCATGGAATATTGAAAAGGTTCGTATATTATCGTTATGTTACAATGCTATGAATTCTTACATATAAGATAAAAAATAAACGTCTTTTTACCTGAAATGTTATGTTATCGTTCTTGGCTGAAAAAACGACGAATTGTAGCGATTCGAAGGGTTATTAAAAGGATTCGGAAACGCATGGTGCCGCATGTCTCGTAGGAGGTATTTTTAGATTTTTTCCTGTGAACTGTCCTGAAAATTAAAAAGATCTGTTTCAGCCCCTAAGTCAATTCAGCCCTGCAGGCCAAAGTCTGATTCAGCCCTTCCTGGAGCCATTTGAGCACAATTTAGGCCAAAAAAGCTTAATCAAAAAGCTATTCCAGCCCACGGTAGGGCCCATTTCAGCCCTTAAACCAAATCAGCCCTACTGAGCTAATTGGACTGTATTGGCCCTGATTTAAGGGAGCCAAATTAGACTCAAAAATAGGACTGTATTTTACTCACGGAAACGGCCCTATTTTTAGGGCTAAAACAGATCTTTCTGATTTACAGTGTGATGAAAGTAACTATTTCCGTGGCTCCTGACTTCTGTTCTTAGACTGCTTGCAGTCCGCCTAGCCTTTTCTCTTAAAATCCATTTAATCCTCATCTCAGCTAACGCGATTGCAAACAACAATGTTGCAATAAGGAATTTCTTTTTTTTTTCTTCTCGGATTTACGCCCACGGTTCATCGCGGCTCACGGCTTCACCGCTCGCTTGCTTTGGGTTACTTTTAAAAGAAAAACTATGATGTAAAGAGACTGCACGCAGTTTCAGAAATATCCGCCAAGGCTCCAGTCTACGTTGTTCCTGGGCCAAACAACCATGATTTAATAAAAAAAAAAAATTAAAAAAGAAGAAAGAAAAAGGAAAAATAATGGGTGAGAGAACTTTTCATCGCTGTGACAGAAAGATCTGTGATCATGATGTGTATCAAGAGATCTTCCCGACCGTACAAAGCCGGCACTAACTTGGTCAAAATCCAACATTGTAAAGTGATGCCGTACCGTACCTAGGAAGTGTTTTTGCCTCGATCAAGGAAGCGTGTAAACTATTTTAAAAATTAAGAGGAGCTTTTCGTTTCTTTGTATTAGTGCCAAATAAGATTAGAATATTACATCGATCCGAGAAAGCAGTACGTGTTGACCGAGAGATGCTAAGCGCACCTTCCACGCGGAATAATGTTTAGATGTTGAATGGTTAAGGTTGGGTTTAGATACTCCGTACAGTTTTCCCCTAACGTATACCCTCGCTCCCCTACACCCCCTCCCCCGCCTGCTGATTTCCGATGAGCGAGTTTAGAGTCCTATCCCCTCTCCCCCGCTTCCGCCATTTTCACGGGGCTGTTCCGATATCACGTTCCGGGCATAGTAGATGTTCTCTCGATGAAATACCCAGCAATTAAGTGTGTTGCATTAAATAATGCCTTCATAGTCTGTTAATAATGTGCCCCGACTTATTTTCGATAGTCACATGTTTGACTATGACGCAGGGAAATCTATCGTAAAATTTTTGCAGCTTGTTATCCTTGTCCGGAAAGGTTCGCCTTTCAAGGACGTCACACATCGGGTCACGAAAGTCGCTGCCCGGCAAACTTAACTGTTTCCCTCTGGACCAGTCGTGAAGTGTTAACTATTCGGGTCAGATACCATGTCCGCCATATTGCCTTGCCGCTGGCGCGCATCACTAGTAAGGCTGAGGGAAACAAGTGATACTGGGAAGTAGTGGTGAAGTGAGTCAAAAGATGTGGTTTTGGACTTCCCTTGATGTATTGCGTCCTCATCACATTTGTCCCAGGGAAACTCGGAGCGAGCATTTCAGTCGACTTAGGCAACTTCCAGGGATTGTCAACCGCGAAATAAACAACAAACATCTTTCAACAACACTTAAAAATACATGTGATTTTATTCACCGAAGCAAACTAAACTGTATAACCGTGATTACATCATTGTATCAATGCCGGAACCCCAACCTGCACTCAAGCTAAGCTAAGCAAAATTGCAAGAAACCTTCTGGTCACTTGGGGCCGAGTTGTTCGAAACCTAGTTAACCCTTTAAAGGCGATGTTACACGGAACGATTCGCATTGACGATTTTTAGCGCAACAAAGCGTTGCAATGCTGGAACGATATTGTAACCATTCTAAACAATGTCGCAACAACGTTGCAACAAAGTGTTGCGCTAAAAATCGACGTTGCGAATCGTCTCGTTTAACATTACCTTAAGAGTGAACAGTATCAATTTTCTCCTATAAGGTTACGAACTGACTAACAAAATAATCACCAAGGGGAAAATGAGGTTTTTTAAATCTAATTCTCTTTAGATGATAATAATTAAAGAAATGTATGGAGATGAGTCACGAGTCTGGAGAATTTGTACGTGGATATTGTGGCGTACAGGGTGAACACAGGTTATGAGTTGTCATAGAAACCAACCCTGGATTATCGTTAATCGTCCTTCAAACAACTCGGCCCAGAGCTGCGAACCTTTTGCCCAGGGAAATGGAACTATTCAATTTTTTTCCCAGTCCACTTAGAGAGAACCCTGGGAGCGAGGTTGTGGATCCATTTGACGCACTGAAGCTCGCATTCCTGGGAACAATAACAACCTCTGAGTCTTTAACCCTTTCAATCTTTGAATAAAAAAAGGTCGTTTGTTTCTTAAAATGTGAAAACGAAAAGTGGTCGGTTGTCACTTGTTTCCATCCGCCAAACGGACATTTCCTGTCAGTGGCTCTCACAAGACATTTCACTTTTCTTACATGAAATTCCTCTGTCTCTGGAAATTTCTGTTCATAAAAGTGTAAGTCTCTTCAATTTTTAAGGGAAAAAATTTAGAATTGTACGAGTAGGATTCGATCTCGGAGCATTGACTCTGCAGTGCACCACTTTAAACCCTACACCACAGAGGATTTGCTGACAATGAATGGTTTGATTTGAATATATATAGCAACAACCCTAACCCTAACCCTTACTTTGTGTACGAATCATTAATCTGTCAACGTCAGTTTGGCGGATGGAAGTAACAGTTGACCTGTTAGGTAGCCTTCATCTGTTCACCATTTAAGATGCGAGGAGACTGGGTGGAGTCAGCTTTCGCAAAGACTTCTGGGATCGTTACTGGTGACGCTCAGGTCATCTATTGGCCATTTTTTCCTCTGTTCCCAGTCCCAGGATTCTAAGCGAAACTTCACTTGGCAACTGCTTAGTCTTCGAATGAAATCCTAAAGTGTGACAATCAAAATCGAACACCACTGAAAAGTGTTGTTTTCTAGTCACGGAAGAAATCTTATGCGTGTGACAATTCATATTATTCCTACGGAAAAGAATCTTCCCATAGCACAGTCACAGTGACTGAAACTTAAGAGTGCAGTTTGACGAGATGAAAGTTATCAATGAAGGATGCACTTGCTGGCTTGTAACACGGTAGATGTATTTCTTATGTGACGACTACATACAAATATGACTAGGATTAAATAGGAAAGGACATCCCAGTTTCCGTTGAAATGAAATCTTCGCTCCATAGCATATTCAAACTATTATATTTTTTTATGAAAAACCTAAAACACAGGCCACTCCTAGGTTCCAAAACCCACACTTTCAGAATGAGGGCAAGTACAAAGCTTTCAAGAAAAATAAGTTTAAAAAAACAATGAAGACATTTTCAAGACTGCGCACTTAGCCTCGTTTTGAAAAAGAGATTAGAGACAACTAAGGTATGGCTAATTACCGACTAAGCTACTTCTGATTTGCTCCCAGCTCTCTTGCTACCATGACAACTGCCTAATAAGGACAGCGCAATGGTTACCAGTCACGCGCACCTTTCATGAGACGATAAGACAACTGGGAACGAGTCAGACTTAGTTCTCTTTGAGTAAGAGAGTATGCGAAGTTGCGCGCTCGCTTAAGTATAGATGCATTTTTAGAAAATACTTTACATAGATAAGATATAAAAATAACATTGTAAAAATATAGAAACCTGAAAGGCGTACTCGCCTCATATTTTGAACATTTTTGCACTTATTTTTCCCCATGGCATTGGAAGAGATACTTAGAAAATTCTTCTGTATATAACAACAAAAAATACATTTTTTATATATGAACATTTAAAAATTTAAGATGAGTAGCATATAGATTTGTAATACACAAACTCACGGTTATAACATCATGTACACATGCAACAATTTCCAGATTTCGAGGGTTTGCGTGACATGGACATATATATATATATATATATAGAACTTTATATATTGAACAAAAAAATTCTCTAGCATGAACTTCTGGTTACAAATAAAGCATCGTTCTCCTCAAACGAAGGAAATATATTAACAATAACTTACTTTAGAATATCGTATTGTGATGCAATAATGGCATCTGTGCGAAACTTCAATCTTTGTGCTTTTCTACTTACGATAATAACATATTTCAAAAGCGAAAAGTGAAACTGTACACGATTAGGAAAGATATAAGTTGCATTTGATTTAAAACTGCTGTTATATAAAATGCAACTACATTAAAAGTAAGAGAAAAGGTAAAATAACAGTCCTCTCTGCTCGTATTACATAAGGAATTTAAGTTAATGCAGATTTAAAATTTTAGCCCAATTCCTGACTTGCGTGACTTGCGTCACGAAAGGAATGCAAAGGTATCTTTACGGCACTAATAAAATGGTGGCAGCACATTGCGAATCATTGATATTTCTATTTGGTGGGAAATAACCCAAAAAGTTTACTTATAATTACACCTTTCGGAAAAATAGTTGGCAACCTTATCCAACTTCTACCGCACGCAAACAAGAATACCTTATCCTTCGCCTTATTCGCAAGTTGGGCTGTAGAGCACCAAAGGCATACAGAGAGGAGGAAAAGCTGCCACTCCGAGCAGTCATTGCTATTAACGGTGTCATCTTGCGAGAGTGTGAAATCCACTCCGCACAGGGTTACCACGCGGCGGACCGCGTGTAAAGGTCGCCTCTCTGTTGTTAGGCCGCGCACGATATGATGGGTGGGGTACTTCAAGCGATGCATGTCTGCTGCCTTCCTGGGGCGAGTTTGACCTCGGAGACGTCGGATCAGCATCATTGTCGTCACCCAAAGACCTTCTGCGCCTGCGCATGGCAGCTCGCTGTGCCGCGGCCTTCTGCGCCTGTCCTGATATGTCCGACTGCTGACGAGACAGGTGAAGGTGTCTCTCGCTGTGCATTTCTTCCAGCAGCTTGGCTATGTGCTGCGCATCCTTTTCCAGCTTATGCGTCGTTTGCGATCCCGCGGTGTCCCTGGGTGGTATCTTTGTCTTCGAAGGAAGCAGCTCCTTGGCTGAATCTTTATGGGATAACAGTTTGGACTTTGCACCATATTCTCGATTCATAACTCTTGGAGCAACAAAACCCCTGTCCGTGTACGGTGGCGGTCGGTTGGACCGCTCGCCCGGCGCCGCACTCGTGTTCAACCTCGATCGCACGTTTCTCTCATCACCAGCATCGTTTCTTCCAGGGCTGTAACGTGGCGACGTGGTAGACGAGTGTTTTGCAGGGCTAGACTCAAGGCGGATATTTCTGGGAGTCGTTGTTCTACTGTCAGCTGGTCTCTGCACACTCCCTCGTTGTTCCAAAGATTGTCTGCTGGGACTTGATGCACTTTTCCTATTAAATTCCTTCAGTGACACGGGAGTAGTCGTTCGCAATGACCCGATTTTCTTTGTTACAGAAGGCGGAGCAGAATCCCTGTCTTTGTTCCGGTGCCCTTGATTTCCCTGCGGCGATGTCCGGATCGGTGTATCACTTGCACGCCTGGGGCCGCTCTCGAACCTTTGCCTCAGGGCTCCCACTGAAGACTCCGGCGTTTCGTCTTTGGAAACTCTCTTAACAGACGATACCGGTTGAGATAAACTGGCACGATCTTCTCTGGAGGGAGTTAATGTGAAATATTTCCTTGTATTTATTTCTACTATGTTGCTCGACCTCAGTTCCGTGTCAGGCTTCTCGGTGCGATTGAACTCCCGAGAAACATTTCCAGCATTAGACGTCGCAGCGGGGGCACCATACGAATCTGATGAGGGGATCATTCCAACGATCTTGTAGACCCTTCCAACAGGCTCGTCTGATGCTCGGCGCTGAGCCACCTCCTCTTGACTCAAAGCTGCTTTTCTCTGAGGTTCACTTCTGACAGACGACTTCTCGTCATCACTGTGAGCATCCGTCCCTGATCTTTTGTTCTCGAAAGGGTTCTCAAGATCCAACAAGATCCTCAGCTTTTCATCAAATGTCTTTGACATGCTGATGGCACACTCGTCCCCTTCATCGCTTGAAGTATCACTGCTCTCCTCAGAGCCCATCGAACGCCTGGCCAAACGAACGTCCTCAGTGCTTTCTCGTTTTGCCCGAAGATCCAGGCTAGAGGGTCTCCATGCTGGTTCAAATTGTCGAACGGTGCCGGAGACAACGCCTCTTCCCTTAACCACAGCCACTATAGTCTCGTTCGATCTCGATCTAGCATCTTGATAAGAGTCACTTGTTTTAAAGCTACCGCTAACTCGCGAAGGCTCTCCATGAGCTGGTCCGCCTGGTAATTTCTCTGTCTGAGGTGCGACTGGAAGGGAATCTAACGATGGATTCTTACTACTATGCGCGCTGCTACTACGGCTAGTACTACTGCTGCTTGTTTCCACATTCTCCTGGTCAGAAAGCTTTCGATGAAAATCACGCGCTCCATCTCTTATCACTTCATCGTTCCTCTCGACCAAGGGTGAAGAAGCCTCTCTCTCCCCTTCACTCTGACGCCTCTTTTCCGCTGCTTTCTTTTGAAGGTTCAGCTTCAGAAGTCTCCTACGTGTCTCCTCGCTGAACGAGGAGAAGCTCGGCTTTAGGGGATTGTCCGTATCGCTCGGGGGCTCGTCGGGCGACTTTTTAACCTCCAATTCTTGGGTGCCCAGTGAGAAACTAACCTCCAAAGGTAAAAAAGGCTGATCAGGGGTCCCTGGACTGGTGGGCCTTTTTTGCGGATTTACACGACGATAAGACGGAGGCGGCGGGTGCGAATACGAGTACGCCTTTAAAGATCCAGCACCCTTTGATCTAAACTCTGCATCAGATGAATCTATCACAACATGTACCGCCGATGAGGAAGTTTCAGTAACTCTTTTGGCTCCAAACTTTGAAGATCTTTCTAATGTGGGCGAATTTGACCTTGACCCTTCCCCCGACAGGCTCCTTAGCATAGGGGCCCTCTCAGTCGGAGGTGAGCTCTCAGATCCCTGGGAATCGGACAACGGGCCATCGGACGAACTGCCTTGTCCCGAGTCAGACTTGGAGCTCTTGCCGCTACGAAACTTGGGGATGTGGAGTGAAATCCCACTCGACTGTGGAAATAAAGACGAAAAAAGTGAGCCGGTACATGTTAGGGATGTCACAAGACTGGCCAAAGCTTAACGTCAGAAACTACCTCTAAAAAGGTCTTTGGTGACCAGGTCTCTTACCTTCGGTTTGTATGTCCCGTCGTCTCCTAACACACGAAAAGAAAGAAAAAACCCATCAATATGAACACAGTATTACAACACTGTAACACAGGCTGTCAGTATTTATCTGTTGATCATAGTCCATATTATAATTTTGTATTAACTCCAACACAATTAAGTTGATTCGTCAACGTCAGCATTCAAAAAACCATAACATAAACATTGCCACCCTATCTGGTTGACAAAAAACATATACCAATCACATTTTGTCACGTGATTATCTCTATAGGACACGTGAAAAATGTTACGTGACCATCACCCATGCCTGGGACAATGAGAAAGTTTTACTGCGAATTGTTTACAATTTTGTTGAGAAGTTAATCAGTTACAAAAAAACTGCATCTTTTGCTCACCAAAATTCACAGCAAGTTGTCCAAGGGAGCTGAGTACGTTTTGGGAAAGGATTTGGTCTTGTGTACATTCCACGCTGGAGGGCACTGACTGAAAGTTAGAAAGTAAACAAAGAAAAAATATAATCTTTCTTGTTGCTTTTTTTTAACCAAGACTGTTTTCGGATTTAATTTAAGTGTAAGTGATACGTTCCCGTACTACCTGCCTCGGTTAGCTTCGTTATTTGCATGTAGTCACTCATAATTTATCGATTTTCATGCTTTCAACACAGGACACCCAGGCTCATGAGTGAGACCCGTTAGTGTATAATATGATTTAAGTCTCTTTATGCAATGGCCAGAACAGGAAAAAAACGCACAGGAAATAGAACGTGGAGACAAAGGGGAAACATTATTTGACTCCTACGTAAGAATGAAACATTTTCGCGCCAACTTTGCGACACGTACCACGCAATCCTCAAGTTGGCGGACGCAACTGCTAAAACAATGGCGAGTAAAGTTTTTTCTAGCGACCATATCGCGAAGACGAGCTACGTTACCTCCCCACGCCCTCCCCAGAGCAAATGGCAATTGAGAAAGTAAAAAGAAAATGTTATAATTTCTTAGAATTTTTAGACGACTTCCTACACTCTGGTCCAATCCATTTCAAGAAACCGAACAAGTTTTTGATCATTGTAGGGTTAATTGAAAAAAGTAACCACTGTAGAATTTTACGAATTTACACGTACCTTGATAGAGCATCCGTCACCTTCTACATCCTCGAAAAACCACTCATACTAAAGGAAAAAATTCAACGCGTTTAGATTAATATCATGAAACAAGATAGAAGGTAAAACGGAGAAAATTTAGTAAGTATTAGAACAGGTTACAAGTTTCTGCAATTCGCGGCTTTTGCGATGCCGATAATACACTTTATTTGCTCTCGTCACCATTTATTTTTTCTGGGAGGGAGGAGAGGGAGGAGGGGAGAGGTAAACAAGGTGTAGTATTATAAAGACCTACATGGCAAAGAGGGAAAAGCTCAAGTTCATGAAAGTTGGAGGGGATACACCAGGAGATCAAAAACAAATCCGAACTTCCAACACGTGAGTAAACCTTACCGGATCAGTCAACAAGGGGTGTCACAATCGTGTTTAATAAATACAGTCTATCATATCTCAATAGGCCACTTGCGAATTCCAAAAGCGCTCCGTTTCAAAATGAGGCTGGTGCACAACCTTTCTTGTGAAAATGAATTTTATTTGCCTGAGAATGAAAAATGATTTCCACCTCAAAGGCTGAGCACCTACCCTCGTTTTGAAACAGAGGAAAGGGGGAACTCGGAAATGGCCTATTAGGCTTTGAAGAATCAGGAAGACGGGCGAGGGGCTTTTTTAATAACTTTCCACCCCTGGAACGGAGGGGAAGGGCGTTCAATAGAGGATTTACGGTAATCATTCCGTTAATTTTTCGAATTTCCGAATTTTCCCTCTTCACTACGAGCTTCACGGCGAAGTCCCTCTATTTCAATGCAAAGAAGACTATTTTCCCATGAATGGATCCACACTTGGCATCATTTTGAAAAATAAACTAAGAGGGTTTTCAAAACATGAAAACAGACTACTCCAACAACAGCTGCGGTTTTCTTTTCTTTTTTGGATTCAGCGGACGGGCACCCAAAGAAAATGGAAGGACTACCTGATCACAGATTACTTATAGGGTGAAAAAAATGGGCGTTTATGAGAATGCTACTGTATTTGTGGTCAGCAAAACAGTTAAAGCGTACAGACCTCAGTTATAAGAGTCTCTACTATGCGGCACTGGTCTGACATATCCTTCACCATAGCAATCATAGAGTCATCTCCCGTCCTAATAACAGTCGGTCCAAACACGATGGCCAGGTTACGTACTTCCATCTACACAAAAACATTTTAACAAGTCATTAACGTCTTAAAGGGAACCTCCACTCTTACTACAGAATAAGTTTAAATCGAATAAAATTATGTTGATAAACAAATTTGTTCGAAATTTGTCTTTAAAAAAGTGTTTATATCAGGAAAAGTGAATTTTAAAATCGCTTATTTTCACTTTCAAATTTCGCGGGCGCCGCCATCTTGAATAATTGTGACGTGTTACGGTTGCTCTATTGTTCTGACACAAAGAGCTTTTGTTTAATAACAATAGGGCAACCATTACACGTCACAATTATTCAAGATGGCGACGCCCGCAAAATTTGAAAACAAAAATAGGCGAATCTAAAATTTATTTCTTTCGGATACAAACGCTTTCTTTACAAATATTTTAGATTGACTTGACTGTAACAGTTATTTCCTGTGATTTAAAGTTATCTTTTTGTTGAAGTGGAGGTTCCCTTTCATATGATCAAAGCAAGAAAAAATCAGATACACCCAGTTGAGGATCAAAATAAACACAACGTGACAAAAGTAATTCAAGAGAGACACTGTTGAAAGGAATATCTCCACACAAGAGAATATGAGACTTTTTAATATGTTCCCTTGCTCCACACCAAAAACGCGGAACATGTTGCACCGTTTAGTTATCTTCTAAATTTGTTGCGAGACAGCTTGCATGAAATGCTACAAAAGTCAGCTTATAATAATTCCGTTATTTACCCTCGGCAGTATTTATAGCACTAATGCTAGTGGGGCTGAGGAAATACCAGAAAAAAATAATTAAAATTGAACTTAAAAGGGTTAAGAATCCCAACTGGCCGGAGGCAAACCAACTGGCTACTGTTTACAAGCATGGTCGAGGATCTGAACTCGGGATACCCTGGGTGCTAGAGACTTTTCTAGCGCGGTTTCCGGTTTCTGTCAAGTCTTTATAGTGACCCGCGCGAAACAAAAATTTCCTCTGCACGCGAGAAAATCCTCTGGTACCCAGGGTAAACTCGGGGCTACCGAGAACAAATCCAGCTAGCGGTCAGAGCGGGACTTGAACTCGGGGCCTCCGAATTGCAAGTCCGGCGCTCTAACCGCTCGTCCACGCTGCCTCCTTCTAAAGCGCCGCAAAACACTGGAAATATTTCACGGACTCCTGATTAGTGAGAAAGTGGTGCTGGGTTCTGTAAGTCAAGTATATTGCTTGGCAATGCAAAACCTTTGTAATTTCGAAATTATTAGGTAGCTACTGTTCTTTTACGTACTGTTTGCTGACGGCGCAGTTAAGGACAGGCGGTCCAATACGAGCATCGAAAAACAGTTTCGAAATTACAAAGTTTTGCATTGCCAAGCAATATATTTGAATTACAAAACCCATCGCTACTTTCTTAATAATTAGGAGTCCGTGAAACGTTTCCAGTGTTTTGCGCCGCTTGACAACGATTGTGTGCATTACTCAAACTCTGATTGGCTGATTGGTGTTGTGATTGGCTTAAGTGCGAGTAATATTTTTGCCCAGCAGAGAGAGATCTGGGAGACCGGCAACGAGAAAGTCAAAAAACGCAGACAAGGCAAATTTTCACGTGCATCACACTTTTTCTGAACATCTCTTTACAGTCACTCACTGAACACAGACAAGACACAATGTTTTTTCTTTCCCGATCTTGGATTTCCGGAGCTAAAAAATTCAACTCCAGGAAAATTCTCGCCAGTATCTCACAAACTGAAGAAGGTGGAATGACATTTTCTCACCATCCATAGCACAGCCTGAGAAAACAGCCAATATTACAAACGCTGAAGCAAATTTTCAACCAATTAGAAGCACTACCGACACGTCTTCAGCACGGAACCTCTGCGCTCGGTCCTCAGACCTCATTTCGCAGGGACACCAGTGGTGCGAAATGTCGGCCGTTTTCAAAAGCTATCCATAACAAAAGGAAAAGATACCTTGTTCTTGTCGCAGTTATCTGAAACTGTCTTCAAGTGATTCATAAGAAACTTGAGAGTTTCGTAGTTATGTTCTGGTAACTCTTGGAGCTGGAAATAAAAAAAGTAAATTGCAAAATCATCCTGATAAAAGCTCATCTATCCTCGTACCACTTAAATTAAATTACTGTTTTGTTTAAACTTTGCACCTTAGGAAGAGCATTCTTGATATCTCTCTGGGAAAAAGCGTTGAAGGTCACCAATTAACGGGAAACTACAGGGTTTGAGCCAGGCCGCGCCACTGCGCCAATCCCGCACTGCAATTGGAATTGTCCCTTTAAAAAACGGCCAAGGGGACAATTTGTCCCCTTCAAAATTTAGGGAAAAAACTCGAAAGGAAGCACACACGTTGAGATTTATTTCAGTACAGAAATTGCAAGCTGAAACAGAACGTAGAAAGTATATTTTATCGCACCTATAAAGTTCATTCCAAAGTTACGTTTCAGTCACGCTCTACTACTATTTTTGTCGGAAATCTAAGACAGGGCTTCTGATTCTTCGCGCGGTTGCGGAGCCGCGAAGTTCACAAAAACACGAAAAATACCGCGAAATTCGGTAGAAATCTTATCAAATACTTGTCTGTACAACATATTTGAAACTTATTTCAGCTATAGGGGCTATTTACTAGCCGTAAACTTGCAAATTTATCTCGGAACTTCGTCACTGAAACGTGCAAACAGATTATGTTGCGAAAAACTGGGCTCTAGCCATGATGTTAGAGGCTTTGCCATTGGTTCATTTCTGGAGCGTGTTGTTGTTGAAAGAGCAAATGATGACCTCTGTTAGAAAAACGTTAAAAAGGCTGGTCTGATCCGCGCAAAACAGATCGATTTCTAGCTTAATTTGCCTTGAAAATAACCACAAAATCGGCCGTTTTTTACCGATTGCTTTTCGGTGAAGTTTGCCCCGAAAACTCCCGCGAAATCGGCCGATTTTTCCGCGAATTTGTCCCTAAAAATCCCGCGAAATTTGACTTTTTCTTCCGAGACCTATCAGAAGCCCTGCTAAGAAGACAAACCCCTTTGCATCAGCAGAAGGGTGTACAAATTTCTGTCCCCCTAAAAATGAAAATGTCCCCCAAAATTTTAGCCAAGGGGTCAAATTGTCCCCCAGTGATCAAATCCTAGCTCAAACCCTGAAACTATGTTCACAAAAAACAGACAAAACTAAGAAGTGTTAAGTTGTTATAGCTGGTGTGTCGCCTAACCGGCCTTTACCGACTTGATAATTGCTAAAAAAAATTCGAGAGCTCCACTCGAATTTCCATGACGACTGGACAGGCATGAAGGAGCAAAGTTGTCATGGCTACGTAGGCGAGTTATCCTTACTAGAGCACTTGCAAGGCAAGTAGGTTAACCAAAGCGCCAAGAAAATTCCACACGCCTCGTAAACATGTCAAGTACAAAAAGAAATGTGAAAGTGCTAGGGTAGCCCCTTTCTCCCTATGAAATGGCCAGGTTCTAAAATTGATCTTGACTTATTAAAATTCAAAGAAAGAATATACATGGTTACTTACAACAGATCGAATTGACCACATTCGTTCACTAGCATCCTCCTTCTTGTTTGATTCAATAAATGCGTCATACAAATCTAAAGACGAATGGTGTATGCACAAAAGACCATATTAGGGCCACTTATACGAGGAAAAATAAGACTCGTCTTACATAAGATGCGAACTGTCCGCCCCTCCATGTTGGCGAACGTAAATGTCACACTAGCTACGAGTCCAAATCATATGCAATCTGTGTTTAACTTGACATTGGACATCCATGTAATGGTCAATTGACAGCTTTCAAAACAGGGTAACTGCTGACCAGTGTTACATGTATCGCGGGCTCAAGTGTACAACTTATTTAAATGAAGTGTTTTAAAGTTATCCGCTGGCCGCTGATATTGTTTTTCAGTTGATCCCAGGCTCAGGTCAATTTTTTTCGGAAAGAATTCAGTTTGCTATTTTTTAATGACGAAAGATGAATTTCTAAAAAAAAAATAGAAAGACGTTTCTTAAAAGATTTCACGACGCATTGCTTTTAGCCTTGGCTAAATCTTATTAGACCTTAGTAGGAACGATCGATACCTGCTGTCACGAGACCTTCTGGTAACTTGCGTAAGAACAATTTCACAAGACTGGTTATGTTGTTTACATCACTCCACTTCTACAAATGAAAAAATATTAACATTAAACACTCAATGAAAGCTGGAAATTCATTAAACCTCGCTGAAACGGCGGTCGTCGGTCAACATTCGCAGGTAACAGTGCAACACTCTGACGTCATAGATTTTGCAATGTGGCCCGCCCAGAGATTATGGAGGGACACGGTTTTATTGTTAGATATCATGTGAGCTCGAAGTAACCAACGAGAGCGCGCGCTGTTGGAAAAACATCAGTTCCAGCTACAATAACATTTCTATCATCGGTTTGAACCCGAGAGAAGGCAAAAACTGAATCCTTTATTCTGAATGGCTTCCCGAGCGGCCAAGATGAGCCTATTTAGCCCGCTCGGGATTATTCACTTTGTTCCCGCGAGAAGAAAACAGTGTGCAAAGTAGTACAATTTAGGGAAAATAGGGACACTCGCCATCAAAGAATCACCTTAAAGAGACTTAAAAAAAGATAAAACCAGGTACAATTACCTCTTCATCTAAACAAACATTCTCTATTCCTCTGGAGTTAAGCTCCTCTTGTAAAGCGGTTACGGCAGCAGAATTTCCAGGAACCCTTCAAGAAAACACGCATATTATCAATTTTATACTACTACATGAAAAATTTCTGCAATTTGATTGGCTTAGAGCAATGGTGTTTCAGCTTAATTTGAAATACCCACATGTGAAAATTACAAACCTTTTGCGGGTAGTAGTATAAACAAATAATAGCATGATTTGTACATGATATTTGGCATAAATACCACTCGGGATATTTCAAAATTACCCCAAATTTCACTCGCCTATAACGGCTCGTGAAATTACGCACAACAATTTCGAAATATCACTCGTGGTATTTATGCCAAATATCACTACAAATCATGCTATTACCTATACTAACAACGTCAAACTGGCACAGCAGTTTATACCGCACAAACAATCATATGCCGTCATAACTACTAGTAATCAACGATTTAAGCACGGTACTTCATTTCACGGTACGTCTTCAGTTAAAAGCCCAAAATAATTTGCCTCAATTCGCCAAGTTTTCCCTAAAATTCGCCTCAGTAATTACGTAACGGTTACAACACTTTTATACCAAAAGTCATACTTATCTAAACAAAAAGGAAGTTACTTTCACGCTTCAAGTATAGCTTTGCCGGTATAGCCTGTCCCAGGCTCTCAGATAATATGGATAAGGCAAATAAGACGCGTGCGACCTGGGGAAGAGGCACGCCTACTCTGTCCCCAGCCCCCGCGCGTTTTTCGTATCACCTTTTCACTGCACGACTGTGCGAAAAACTTGGAGCCTGCTGCAGGCTAGGACCGGTTTGAGAGGGACATATCATAATTATGTTAATTAAAGAACTCTGTTGCCAAAAGGATTTCATAATTCGATACCTGTAGACTCCAACAGTTTCCAGTCCCTTTCTTTCCACCACATCACAACAGTGCTCCACGATCAAAGGAATCATCTACAAAAACACAAATAGAGGCGTTCATGTCAGGGGGTGGGGCTCGGTTATTAAGAGAGAAAGTCGACCAGTGGGCAAGTCTACAGAGAGTACTCTTTGTGCAAGAGACTTTTCATGCGCGGTTTGCGGTTTCGGTCAATTCTTCTAAGTGAACTGCGCCTTAGGCCGAAGACATGTCGAGCTGAGGTGGTAACGTCCGTTCTTGTCGGCTACGTGCACTTAGAAACATAGGAAAACGACCAGTTCTGCTCTACACTGACCTTGTTGTTCTTAGATGGTGGACAAAGCTCTAGTGGAACGCCAATCGAATGCCCTGTAAGAAAAAAATACCACCGAATTACGCATATTAACATCAAGTTTCCGTAGAATAGGAGTGTATAAGATGCGCGAACGGGAGCGAGACCGGGCTGTAACTGGATGACGAGTGCAGAAATGGGCCAGAATGTGACAGTGTTTGTCTTTGAGTCGGCGAAAGTAATTGCTACAGTTCCCAAGTCGCCGAACGGTGGTGACAATGGAAAGGATCGCATGAACATTACACCAATGACAAAGGAATTACAAACGCTCGTCGAAAGGAAACTTAACTACATAAATCATCGTCACCAACGTCTCTTCTGCTACTTCTACTCTCTGCTCGTCCCCCACACTCGCGCAACATCGCTTATCTCGCGCGCCATCCACGCAAGCTACCATTAGTGGAAGAAAAAGTTAAATGTGGTGAAAGCAGATTGGGGAACATAGTGCAATAAACAAACCCTCCTGGAAAAGGAGGAATTTACCTGAAGGATAACTGTTAGGGTGCTGCAGCTTCTTACGCTTCTTCAGAGACTTATTTGAATGGCTTTTCCCACTTTCTCCTGAAAATCACAAATATGACACCAAAGGTTAGGGTAAATTTCATGTTCTTTCACCTAACTTCACGGACCAGTAACACATTTCCAGGTATCATTCGCATGCTTTATACGCCCAATACTCATAACACTAATCGCTGTTGTTCACAGGGTGGATGGCACCATCCACTGAATAAACCTCTCAACAACTTGTCATGCAATAAAGTCAACTCCTTTTACGACGGACGCTTTTAGGACCAGCTGACTAAGGGTGGATTTTCCACTGTCGCGTAATTTTTCCGTGCGTGGCCGCACGCACGTAAATTTTACGCGCGTAAATAAAATAGAGGCAATGTATGGATGGGCACGTGTAAACGTTAAAGTTAAACCGCTGGACAGATGGTGTCTGTCTTATATGAGGTGTCTGTTAAGAAAGAGTTGCCTTTAGACTTCTTTAGCTTGTACGTCTGGTTTTCCCAATCAAGGTCTCAGTAGTATTTGCCTCTTTGTTTTCATAAATCATGCGTACATTCTAACACAAACGTATGGTTATGTTCATAACATTTTCCGTCAATAAGCGTAGTTTGCTGGAAGAATAAATATGACGGCCACTTTTGATAAGGTAGTTGTAGGCTTCCTGAATGGGGTGTAAACTCCTTAGAAATGTCATTGTTCAAAGGGTATTGCCACCAAGAAATCATCATTGTACCTTTTTGTCCGGTGGTTATGTGCTTAAAAGACAAGCTTTTCTTGATGTTAGATATTCCCGGAATAACAGAAATTTTAGTGTTCACCGGGGGCGATAACTTGTGACCTGACGAAACTGTACTTGATCTGAAAGAGAAATCATTAAGTAGTCTACTTTAGTAAAAACACCTCTTTTTTTGACAAAAGTGCGAAGTCCGTGATAAAATGAGACAATGGAAGTTTGGCTAAGAATTATGAACTTGGAGTTTACTTCTACCACAGAATCTTAGGAGCAACAGGAACAATATTTTCCTTTTACCGATAAAAAAAGCTGCCTTTCTTTGACAACAACAACGTAGTAAGTTTGAAGTGAAAAGAGACACTTTAACCCAGAAAACAATGTTTAGAACAAGGCTTAACCTGGAGCACTCGTTCATGAGCAAATGACTGAGAAAAAGGTTTATAGATCGTTTTCACTGTCACGCAACAAAAAAATAATTTGAAAACCGTCCAGTGAAAGAAGCCAAGAAAATGATATGTTATAAAGGACTAATTTTTAAACAATTTGTCCAAGTCTCAGGTCTTTTTGGCCCACAGTTTCTGAGTTATTTGCCGAAACGTTTCACGCATCTTTGTAGAGCTCTGTATGGAGACGCCATATTGGTGCACAGTTTTGGTGCACCAATATGGCCGCCGAAAATCAACAAAAATATCAGGAGTTCACTTGTTCAATAAAAGCTCCTTCTTTTCACTCGAGAACTAGCCTACGTGCGCATAAACATATCTTCTAATACTTGAAATGGTTATACTGCTGAAAATCAAGAGGAGAGACTTTTTTTCAACGAGACAGCATTCCTATTTTGGTGTCACGCACTCTGAAAACTCGGAAGTTCAAATTGCTGTATTTTCGAAATGAAACATGCTATGGGACTGAAAACTTGTACAAAGATTAACTTTTTGTTTATCTTCAACCTAGTGTTCGTAAGAATTCGTAAAACCTCGCTATTTTGACTTTACAATTTGATGACGTCACTGTGAAAACCATCTATACTAAAGCGCCAAAACGCAAGGACAGGCTTAGGGCCCATTAATCATTTCTTACGTTTTCTATTGTGTTATTCTGGCCAAAAACAGAAAACGACGCAAAAGAAAAACACTGACCACAAGTCGGTGTTTTACAGATCATCCACTCACCACCTTTGAAACGAGAAGGCAACTGGAGCCGAAATGCGTCTCGCAAATGCTTCTGGGATTGTTAGCGTGGAAGCGCCGGTTAGCTATTAGCCAAATCCTAATAACAGTCCCAGAATTCTTTGCAAAAGTTTACTCAACCCAGTTTCTTTTTCGTTTTCAAAGACGGCGAACACTCAAGCTATAGAAGAGAGCTTTAGATTCTGAGACGAGGACGACTACGAGTACGAGATTTCCTCAATACTGAGTAGTACTCGCGCGTAAAACCAGCATCATTTTGGCGGGAAAACGTGATAGTAGTCGTTATTCTACTAGGGTAGGTTTGCGACCGGGAAAGGGCTAAGCCTTCTCTAAAAATGATAACCTTACTAATTTTTCAGATGAAAAATAGTGCAATGAAGCTTTCCGGGTTGAAAACTTGTCGAGAATTAGCCTGCGAGCAAGCTCTCCTATTTGGGCGAGTGAAACGAGTCTCGCGAGAACGCGCGAGCGAGGAAAGGAGAGCTTGCAACCATCCCTTACAAATTTTCATTTGTACTTCGCCCAGACGAAGGGAAATACCATTGGCTGAAAAATGACGTTCCGGAAATCAAATTTGATTGATAACAGGCCAAGCTGGCACCCGCTTCGTCTGTGTGTCAAATTTGGTTCTCAGGGGGATCAGATTGGTACCGAGAACTTGTTTCAGCGCTCAATGCAGACGGGCTCGTTTGTTGTAATTCTCGCAAAGAGAATATTGCGTGCCGAGGATAAGTCGGACCGAGTTTGTAGTTCTTGTGGAAGGAAAATGAAAACCCTTCATCAGTTGTATTCATTTGTGTCAAGCGCCTTGTTTAGTTCTGAAAACCGGGAGAAAGAAAGTGAAGAGTGATTAAAGCGCTGCCTTCCAACATCGTTTTTTCGCCCGATTGAATTCTACTGGGTAGAAAAATTCAGAAACATGTACTTGACAGTGTAGCTGTGTAGCTTGATCGTAAAGAAGGAAAAGAGAAAGAGTTGGAAGCAACTGGAGTAAACCTTAAGAGAACCAAGTGCCGAAAAACGCTATTCTCCAGTTCCAGACGGACAAATATATGATGTTTTTGTTGGTGATTGCGATGGGGAGTAGTCTTCTACGCTGCAGTATTGACGACCTTTCAAAAGTAAACGAAACGAGAATCAAAGTAGTGAGTTCTTATCCGAGCGGACACGTTGAAGTTCGATGTCCCCGTGAAAAAAAAAAACATATCAGTGATATTAAAAACATTGCTTTAATGCTGTTGTGAAAGCGATTTATAAATAAGTAACTCTACGTGCCCTCGGCTGTCTAAACTTACTTGACAGGCGGTTGTCACTTTTCTAATCTGCCGCACGTTTGCGGTGACAATTTTCGCGCTTTGTGGAGTCCCGGGGTTTCCGGGGTGGAAATGAAAATTTATGAGAGATGGTTGCAAGCTCTCCTTTCCTCGGCCCCTCGCTCGCGCGTTCTCGCGAGGCTCGCTTCGCTCGCCCAAATAGGAGAGCTTGCTCGCAGGCTAGTCGAGAATACGCAAAAAAACCTCTAAGTTACATCCCGTACTCGTACTCGTACTCGTTCTCAAATCTAAAGCTCTGTAACATTTTGATTTGCGTATGACTCCGGCGACTATGTGTGCGGAGCTTGTGCCCGTACTCCAGCTGGACGGATAACATTAGTACTATCATTCTCACCCTGAAGTTTCATGTTCCACTGTTTTCATTCTTCTTATAATCAAACTCTGGCTGCTAACGCCATTTTCCTATAAGATAAAGCAAGCATTTGATTGGTTGATTTAACGATCGGTGATCAGTTAGTTAGGAATTCCGCTATTTCGTCTTCGAATGGGCGTGAATGCCATTTTCCCTTTTAGTTCACTCAAGAACAGTTAGGTTGCCGCGTCTGGAAACGAGGTTGATTGATGTCATATCATAATTCATATCGTCGAATCTATGGTATATTGCTCGCATCTTCCAAATAAGATAAGCGATAGTTGGTTATGAAGAATTTAAATTAGCCGGGGGATTAGAGCCAATCAGAAAACGCATAAACAAACTACTACTTTGTAGCATATAAAAAACCCCCAACCTCTTAGTAAGCTGTAGGGAGCTTAAGCAACGACCACAGCGAGGGCAACGAGAACCGCAAAAAAGCAATAGGTTTAGAACAGCAACTTTGGACGTGCATCACGCTTTTTTGTACATCTTTTAACCGTCGTTGCACGACTACGCCGTGAAAGGGGTCATGCACATGTAGCAGCTGCCCGGAAGAGAAGTCACCAATGGTGCGTTTCCCTGACCCCAAACAACACGAAAATTGGACCGTGAAAGTGCCTAATTTCACGTTTTGTCGAGGACGGGAACACAATACAGCAACTTTCTTTTTCTTTTCTTGAACTATAGAATTCAACTCCAAAACAATTGCCAACATTTGACGAATTAAACGAAAATGGAACAAGCGTGATAAAGTTTGAGGCGGCGCGAATTCATTTTTTCAGTGACGTTTTCGTAGCCGTCGCCGTCGTTGTTGCTTGAGCTCCCTAGTATCTTATCTTGGGTAGAGAGATGTGTGACGTCACGTTACCATGGTAGCAAAATTTCTGGATCACAACAATAGGGAGCTTAAGCAACGACGATGACGACGGCAACGAGAATGGCAAAAAAGCATCAGGTTAAGATTAGAAAGATCAGGGGCGGATCTAGAGGGAGGGTGCAGGGGGTGCGCCCCACCCCCCATGTGATGATCTGCGGTTTTCTAATAAAACTAGTATTTTGCAAAAAAAAAAAAAAATATGTGGTTTATTGGTGTTGAAGTAGAGCAAGAGACGAGTGCACCCCATCCTAAAAAAAATCCTTGATCCGCCCCTGACGACAATAATTTTGCACGTGCGACATAAAACTTCTAATTTCACGCGCCCACTTTATGGACTAGATAACACAAGACAAAATTTTCTTTTTCTTCCTCTAAACTCAGATACGATCTTTACGGATTTAACCCCAGAAAATTTCGCCATGATTTGACAAATCAAATGAAATTGAATAAGATCGATGAATTTTGAAAGAGTGTGAATTCACTTTTCAAGTGACGTTTTTGGTTTGCTGTCATCCAGAAATTTTACTACCATGGCAACGTGACGTGACGACTTCTCCTTCTCTACTGCTACCTTTACTTCCAATAAGCAAGTAAAATAAAATAACAGGAAAAAAGTCTCACATCCTCATCAGGGTTGTTGTTGGCCTGTATTGCGGCAATCCAAGACATCATAGAGTCGTGATCCTCAGTCTGAAACGGAATACACACAAAAAAAGAGATTTTAAAAAATATTATTACAAAGTTTCCTCCGTGCCTGTTCACATATTTTGTTGGAAATCAGCAACGACAATTCTGCGGTTTCATTTTCAAACACTTTTTAATTGCAAATTGTAAATATATGATTATCCACTCCCCTCAGGGTTATTCAGGGATAATAGCCCTCGTTCGGTATATTAAGATTCTAACATACCTCCGAAGCTTGGTTTGTTTTTTTTGTGCTCAATTCTCTTCTGGGGAATTACGAGACAATGGAGTCGTGAACAACTTGCCATTTTGACCCTAAAGCCTCCAAGTCATGTTAGAATTTTAATATATCGAACGCGAGCTATTTACAACCCTGTTTGGGTAAAATTTTTACTCAAATTGCTTTTGGTGCAAATCGCAATTAATGAACAGAAGTAATGAGTTATGAATGAGCCCTAACATGAGTGAAATGAGTGTGAATTTGAGATACATGAAGACCACCACACCGCAACTATGTCCCATACTCTTTACGGACAACAGTGTGCGCACTTTTTTAGCAAGTAAGCAGTATATGGATGATGTGCTAAACGTTTAACGGCAAAAGTGTCAACCACAGCTTTGAAGTACTTTATTCCGCATTACACAGTCAAGCAGAGAGGAAAAAGGACCTACATACATGCACTGATTTGGGCTAATTTTAGCCTGCGAGAAAGCTCTCCGGAGCTTGCAACTTCGTCTCTGGAATTTGAATATCTGCATCGAAAAAGTCGATGCGAAATGCTGATTGGCAGAGATGACATTAGTTATGACGTCATTACCCTTGGCACGTGTTTTTCAACGTTTGTTTAAATTCGCGTTCGTTTCCGCTTCGCGCTGATTGACGGAAATCTGACAGCTCAATCGACGGGGAGCAACAGGGGAATTGGAAGGAGAATTCAAAATTCCGGAGACGTAGTTACAAGCTCCCCTTCATTTTCCCACCACGCCGCCAGAGCACCTCGGAGAGTGACACCAATAAGCAGGAAAAATGACATTGAAACGAAACAAAAAAGTTCATGTACCTGAAATAGGAACTCAGACCCATTGAATGTGGTCAACCTAAAAACGTTCTTCCTTTTGGTATAGTCATGTGCAATGTCGACAATGCTGGACTTGATACTGATTGGTTGTTCATCAGAAATATCCTCCTAAAAGAAAAAATTCATAATCTCTTAGGTCAAACGTGCTTCCTGATTGGACGAGAACATGTCACGTGCCATATGTAAAAAAAAATCTTATTTCAGTCCCTAGTGCAAAAAAACTACTAGTGAAAACTACGTCACTTGCGAACTTCACACATGCATGTATCATAAGCTTGAGAAAACAGCTGACATTTGGCGACGCCACCACTTGTTTCCCCACAACACGATGTCTGAGAAACGAGCGCAGAAATCCCATACTGATGATGCGTCACTACCCGGATTTGGGAAGTGCTTGTGATTGGTTGAAAATTTGGTTCATTCAATCACAAGAACTTGCCAGATCTGGGTACTGATACGTTATCAGTATGGAATTTTTGCGCACGTTTCTTAGACGTCATTTCGTGGGGAAACAAGTGGTAGCGTCGAAAAATTGCGGCCGTTTTCTCTTGGATCGTGTACCTTGTAGCCACGGAAAGTGTGTGCAAGCCATGCCTAGCAATTTTTTTTCTTTTTCGCAAGGAGTCTATTGCAAAGGAACCAAAAGTGATTCGCTTGGTAAACCTAACGCCTCTACAAGTGATTGCCACATGCACTTCCTCCAGCAGATGTGAGGCTTGTCAATTATAGAGTTAACTTATTAACTCTAGTACAGTACTGGATAATTGATAACCACTTACAATATGCCTACACTTACATACACAGATAAGGACAGAGTAAACATGTTTTTTGGCCAAGGAAAGCATTCATTATTATTAATTTTAATGATAAAAACAAGACAAAAAGCTGTTCAAAATGAACTATAACAATTATAAAAGTATCAGTCCATAAGATGCAACGAGACTCGTGGGCATGTAAGAGGAGTCTGAGTTTAGCTCACTCTCAATCTAACCTGATGTGCAGAGCCTTTGTCTTTATGTAAATAGAGAATATGGCCCCGTAGAACAGCAAACACCGGCTTCCAAGATCGTGCACTTGAACGCTGAAGAGAAAAAGGAAAGGAGAAAAAGGTAACATTGTTTTTTTAAAAGAAATGTCAAAGTTAATGGCATTTAAATACAGCTAAAATATCAAATTATCACCATTACAAACCTTTCCTCCATCGACAACAGCAAGTTTCCTCCAAAGAAGACCTTCCTTATAAACCTGCAATTGAAAACATAAATGAATTCCTACTCGCCACTATATCGTAAAAATATGCAGTACTTAACTTAATAACATGTAGGGGTAGCAAGGGAGGCAAAGTGGTCAGAGCACCGTCCCCTCCCTCCCACTATGTGGCCTGGGTTACAATGCTGGCGTCGATGTCACATAATTATGGGTTCAGAATAAGCTTTTTGTTGGTTCTTTCCTTTGCTCCAAGAGGTTTTTCTCCGGGACGGGGTACTTTCGTTTTCACCTCTCCTCAAAAACCAACTCTTCCAAATTGCAATTTAATCTGAAATCCACGGACACATTGAACGAGTTCATAAGAACTCCTAAGTGCGTCGTGGGTAAACAAATTATAATTTACAATTTACAGGTGGAAATAAAAGAAAGGAAAACCTTGCGATGCCTGGTGCATTAGTGTATGTTAGACTTATATGCTATTCCTTAAACTATAAAGCACTCAACAGCACAATTCAAGCCATATGCATAAAATAACCGCGTTATGAGCTTACTGCAACACGACCAGTTCAAATTCATACGAAATTTCTGAAAATGCGGCCCTTACCTCTAACATTCCTGGCACTGCATCGCCCTGCTCTTTTGTTTCCTGTGATAAAAACATAAAAAAACTTAAATCATCATTGACTGATTGATACTTTGATTCATTTATTTGTCACTTAATTAGAGCTGTATTGTAGGCAAATTAGTTATTCAATGTACATGTACACAACTTAATAGGTTTAAAATAAGGTGTACTTACAATGTATGTCTTTTATATACTGACAATACATGTATTTTTACAGAACAGAGCTGAGGACTTTTTATTGAAATAGCTTTTATTCATTTTTTTACGAACTTTCCTACAAACAGAGTTCTTGTAATCACATAAGTATTTTCTTGAGTGTAAATTGATGTCAGAATGCTTGTGTGATAAATAATGCTACCCAGAATTAATAAGAATCAATTGCTTTTTAATTTTTTTTTAATTTTGATGCTGCAACACATTACAAAATTAATCTAATGTTTGCCACAATAAAAATATCATTGCTAAACATTACAATGTACCTCTTCTTCCTTAGTTTCTTCTAGAGTCATTTCATACTTGACTGATTTTGGAGATGAAGTTGCCATTACATAAGAAACGCGTCTGCCTGTTCGCTGAACTGTGCTTTCGCTTGTAACTTTGCCTTCAGTTAAACCTGAAAAAACCTGCCAGAAGAAAAAAAACAATCATTGGTGAATAAGTACAGTAAATTCACTCTGTAGTATACATATACATAAAGGAAGCAAACGGAATTCTTTTTAAAAAGACAAACAAAACAGCGATGTTAAACTTGAATATCCAGATCACAGGTTTTCTGCCACCTGAAGTGTTACCCAATGAGCAATACAGCTGTACAATGTACATGTATTTTCCTACTTTTTAACTGGCCAAGGAAATTTATTGGCAACCGCATTTGGTAGGAGGGGGTGTGGAGGTGTGGGGGTGTGGGGGTGTGGGGATTATGGGGGAGAAGTAATTTACCACAAAAAAGTTCAACAGTCTTTTCTGAAACAAAGTTTGAACCCCCCCACCCAATCAAAAATTCCAGGATCCGCCCCTGTTATGCATTGCATTTGAGTCCTCAGTTTCAAACTTTAAATAATTCATACTTGGTTATGAGGCTGAGAGTAATAAAGCAAAAGAAAATGCATTAAGAATCCATCCAAAAATGGAGGTACACCATGGAGCTCTGGGGATGAGGTTGCATTGTATTTGTACAACAATACAAAATGGCAGAATTTTTTAGACATAAATTTCACAACAAAGAAAAAGCCAAACCACTGCCAAAAAGCATAGCAAGAACAGCAAAAGTACCACTTGAGAGGTGACATCTGCTATTTGGAGAACATCTGCAGAACTAAATTGGCCTTTATATCATGAAATAGCTGAAACAAGGCAAATTTTTACAAGTGAACGTACATGTAACATCAGCTTGTTTTTGAACTACAGTTGGGATTATTTTGAACTAGTGATAAAACAATTATTGAACTCGGCTTTCACATGATCTGAGGAGGGTATTACAAATGTATAAGTTGATGTCCATAATTCTTCAGATCATACTCAACCTTATCCAATAATTGCTTAATATCATTGTTAATTTATGTTATATCATTCCCGGTACAATATACCTCATCTTCCTGTTCGTTGGGATGAATATCCATCCCTTCTTCTATTCCAACATCTTCACAGAGCTCCATCCCGGATGAAACATGCACCATAACTGGTGGCAACATTGTCGACAATGCCTCAAACACAGATGACTTTGTGGGCTTTTTGGTTTGTGGAGCAGTAGCCCAAATTTTCTGGTCGGATGGGGATGCATTGCCTCGTGAGGTTGCCATTAAGTAAGAAACACGCCTCGGTTTTGGACTGCCCTGTTTGTTAGGAAGAGAAGCATCCGATTCTGATGCAGTAGAAACAGGTGATGGGGAAAACGTTACTTCCTCAAAGGATTGTTTGTTTGGGAACATTGACACCTGATTGGAAAAGCCAACAGGCTTTATGTGGTTGTCCCCTTGCCGAGGGACTTTTGCAGGATGAGGTGAATCTGATTCTTTGTAATTTTCTGCGTTAGATTCTGATCCTACCCACTGTCCATTAGAACTACTCTGTTGCTGTGAATACACATCTCTACTCTCCGACAGGGTAGTTCCCATAGTTGATGATTTCAAACTCCCCTGACGATCCTTACTCATGCGGGAGGCTAATGTTCTTATTAGATATGAGGCAGTTTCCTCGTGCGACAGTCGAGTCTTCTGGAAGCCTGGATCAGTTGCTACTGGTTGGCGAGAGCCCACATCTGTGTTTGTATTCATATATGTTGTTGATGGGCTGTCTGACGCAACAGTTCTTGGCGATGAAAGCATAAATGGAGGAATGCTTACTGCACTACGATCAGCACTTAAGCTATAGGCATCAGTTACTTTCGCAGTTCTAACCTTGCCTACATCACTCAAGGTGCTACTAGTTCTGCTTCGCTCTTCAAAACCTTGGAGTTCCGCAACAGGAAGTGAATGAGAGCGAGTCTTTGTCCAGGAATCCTCCAAAACGGTGAGCGTGTTACCAACTTTAGATCCTTTCTCAAATCGAAGTGCAAGGGGTCTACCCATAGAATCAGTGGCAGCCATAAAATAAGATCCGTCCATGCGACATGTGTTCCCACTACTGCTCTCAAGAGCACTTGAACTTCTTGATTTTAAATTGCTATTGTAGTCCACATTTTCTGAGGTAATAACAAAACTTCTATTCTCCATTGCTGTTCTGTCTACAGAGCCTCTCCGTAGTGTAACAGCGGGATTAGGTGTGTCACCGTTTGATGGTTTATCAGTCATATTTAAATGAAATGATTTCGCAGGGCTGATAGTTACAGACGACATGACTCTTCCCGGGTTTTCCCCACTTGATCTTCTTCTATACACTGGTTTGGGTTTAATTGGTGGAGGAGGTTGATTGAGCTCATGTGTACTCAAAGAAATCTTTGGAGGGACAGAGAGTCCTGGTGTCACCTGAAAAAACAAGAATAATGATAATGTGTATTTCAATAAAAGATGTCTGCTTAAGGTCTCAAGCCTATGTGCAGCCATGCCCAATACATGTCTACATTCTTGAATGGCCCACATTGTTTGGTTGAAAGTTCATGAAACATTTAACAATTTCTTTAAGCTAATTTCTATTTAAGTTCATTACCGCAAGGAGCTTAAAAGTGTGATCTCCTTTAATTAATTCACATTCTTTCACGCAGACATTAACCAATCAAAAGTTGAGGACAGTTTCCAGATGGATTCTGATTGGATTAAATCTGCACAAAAGAATGTGAATAAATCAAAAGCGGTCACACTTTTGGGCTCCTTGCTGTAACGATTTGCAGCTGCTGTTGTTATTGTTTTGTTTTTGCTTCTTACTGTTTTTAGGGTTGACAAATAAGAGGAAAAGAAGGAGCAGAGAAAATAGCACTGGTGTATATCTGACTGGATTTACGATAACATGGCTTCAGTGAGTGTCTAAAGGTCCTATGCTAAGTGTGTCCTTGGTACCAAGACTTTGACCCTCCCCACCCAGGACAATGGGTGAGTGTCTGCACCTCCCACTGAGCTCTGCAATTGTCATGATAATCATTCTCAGCAGAGGTCTGATTCAGCTGGCTAGGGCAAGTTAAGACCAAGGTACTCGCCAGTCAAAGCCCGAACTGAACACTGTTGCTTACTGAAGGGGTTGTGTCAAAACAGCCCCCTCCCTACCCCACTAGTTTTGACTCCAAGGCCTGATCCACCCACCCACTGTTAGGGCAGTCCCTGGGCTATCCAGCTGTACCGACCAAGAAATCAAGTCCCCTACTTTTCTGGACACCGGGCTGGCCTGGAGCTGGTGCCCCCGGCGCGAGGTGAAAACCTAGTGGCCACGTTTTAACGAAATAAGAAAGATATATTGTGTTTATTAAAGCACTTTAGAAAAAGCTATACACGTGTCGAAGCCTTACTACAGTACTGAGCACCCACATCATCAATCCCTACAAATATCAGTTTTCTCATATGCTGTGCTGTAAAGCACAGAAAGCCACAACTACATTTTAAATACCATTAAATCATATTTAATGTAGTTAACGACCAGGAGCTATGGTCTCGGGTGTTTTTGGCATTTTTTGGTAGCGCGTTGGTCATCTGTAGCGTTGTGCGTGACTATGTTTGCGTTTGTAGCGTTTACCATTGTTCGTGAGCTGGAGGGCAGATTCCTGTCCAGCGGTATGTCGCTTTGGCGCATGGGGAGGCCACGTGCCTATGTTGTGTTTGCGTTGTACTCGAGGCTTTGTTAGCGTGGCGTGGCATGGCGTGGCGTTCCAGTAGCGTAGCATTTCTCTTGGTTCCCCTCCCTCCCTCCACTTTCTTTCTTATTTATTTATTTAGTTATTTATTTTTTCAGGGGTTGGTTCATTTTACTTCCACTGGGCTTCTGGCCTCAGTGTGACGGGTGCTATAGTGGGGGGCTGGGTGCGGGGGGGCTAGTGGCTGGGTTGCGGGTTGGTAGGCCTGTGGGTGTTCTTCCGCCTTGGGGTGTATTGCGGTTGCAGCCCCCTGGCCCATGGGCACCCAACCTCCACTTGCGACGCAGGCGTTAACATAGATTTTATACACACAATACAGAAATGTACATACCATTTGAAGAACACAGTCCTCTTTAGGTATGATGCCTAACTCCAACAATTCTTGGCTGCAAAAATTATTGAACAATAACATGTTAATGTATTAGATACAGTAAAGTAGACCTCTCAAAATCAAAAACAGCCCTTCCTGGAATGACCAATTTTATTTTCAGCCCCCTACCCCACACATACACACACTTTTTAGTTCACTCCGCCGCCGCTGATTGGCTTGTTCATACTTTTCTAACCTTTGTCAATACATCACAGTCAGTGCCTACAATCAGTTTTTTCAAGCCCTGCAAGCTAAAAAATACAGTGGAACCCCACCCCATTTATAAGACTGCACCCCCTTACTACGAGCCATATTTTTTCCACCCAAATGTAAAAATCACTTACAAGGGTGTAGTCATTTGATTATTGTAGACCCAATTAATGCGACCACCTCATTATCAATGGCCCAATGGTGATTGCATTCACAGAGTTCCACTGTGTGTTGGATGACCTGTGTATAGGGTAATTGCCTAATCACCTCAGAACACCTCAAACTGGGAGCCTGGCAGGAATGCTACATATACTTAAGCCTTGAAGTCCAAATGGTGACCAACATCAACTTTCTCCTAATGATATCCATACATCATCAAGAGAAAAAGTTATGAGAAATAACAAACTGACCACCAAGGGAAAATATACAGAGATCAGTTTGGAGAATTTGTATGTGGATATTGGGGCTTAAAGAGGTAAGCAGACATGTGGCATTAAAAAATGCAATTTTAATATGTCACACCTTGACAAAATCAGCTCGATCACTTGAGAATATGATTTTCCCATAACTGGGTGTCCATTAACAGACACGATTTGATCACCTGTGATAATACAAAACAAACATAGCAAAGGAGTTGAGTAAATCATGATTGCTGGTTAGGTCTTCTGTGTAAGCACAGTCATTTCATTTATGTCTTTCACAGGTCAACTACACAGGCGTCAGATTTTACGGGGAAGGAGGTAGGGGTGAACTCACTATAAAAATGTCAGGGGTACCCTGTAGGGGGTAGAAAACTACATGTACAGCGAAAGCTCTCCTATTAAAGGGTACTTTTGTAAGCAGACAGCTCTACATATGGCCGCATTCACAAAACTCTGTTTTCCTCAACTCCCATACAAACTCTGTATTTTACATTCCGGTAAGCAGCCAGCCCCATTTAAGGACACCTTTTTCATGTTCCAAGGATGTCTGTCTTTTTAACCCTCCGTTAAATCGCCTCTCCACATATAAGCCTCCCAGGGGCTTGTACTTGGAAAATTGCCCTCAAATACAAAGTAAAACAAAACAAAAACAGTAAAAATGGTAAATTTACTTCCAACTATAAGGCTAGCCAAATCGATTTGGAAATGCAAATTTCCCTCCGTAGATAAGCCCCTCAAAAAGGGCCTTTGAAATATATATGCTCCAGGGCTTATTTTCAGAACTTTACCGTATCTTCCTTTTTCTTTTTTAATTTTGGTCAAAATAAATTAAAACCAAGTCAACAAAACAAGACTCTGATTGTAGCAGGGTTCTTTCTATTTTCTGTTGAGTTTCTCATCATTGGGAGGGGGGGGGGGGGGGGGGTAAAATGAGCTCACCATCGACCTCAAGTTTATCCGGTTATTATTGATATCACAAGTACCTAGATTTATTATTACAGAACACACATTAGAAAGTTCTCTCCCACTATTATTGGACGATAATTATTTTTGGAACAATCTTCCCTTTTCCATTTACAAGCTATTCAAGAATTCCCTCTTCAGTCATTACTTATCCAATATTAAATAAATGCTAGATTGACTTAGTTGCTTTAGCTACTCACACTAAATATACAGATTTCTTTCAGACCTATATGTATTCGTGTGTCTGTTTGGACCGGTTATATTTTATTTGCTTATTGAATGTGATCTTTTCTTGTTTTTCTGTACTAGCATTTTATTTTATATTTTTACCTTACAGTGAAACCTCTAGTAAGTGGACACCTTCGGGACCTTCCCAAGTGTCTGCTTAATGGAGGGTGCCCGCCTAATAGAAGTTTGTAAAAATTGGGCAATGTTTGATAAAAGATTAACATTCAACGGTTACTCTGTACTGTGATAAGTTCATGATGAAATGATGTACTTTGGGCAAGACTTTTAGGTGAACTTTGATCATGGATGACAATCATAGGGCCAGATATGGGTCTAATCTACAGTTTATTGACATCTAAATGTATTGATTTATCTTTATTAATCAACTACTGTATGTATTTCAAAGACGTAATCCAATACTACTATAAATTTGTCAATTTACTCTTGTGTCTGCTTAATAGAGGTTAATAGAGGTTAGAAATTAGCCAAATAGAATTTATTTTAGCGTCTACGTCCGCTTAATAGAGGTGTCTGCTGAATAGGGGTTCATTATAGAGGGAAAAATAAGATGTTAATTTCGGGACCAGCTTATTGTCCGCTTAATTAATGGAGGGTGTCCACTTAATTGGGGGTGGGCTTAATAAAGGTTTCACTGTATTAATTTATTCATGTAGTTTATTTTTTACTTATTTATTTTTCTTTCTTAGTTAGCAATTCTTCATATTAATTTTTTCAATCTATTAGGGCAATTAATAATTTTTTTACTATTTTTGCCCTTTTTCTCTAATAATTATTTGTTTCTATAAACTTGTTTAATCTATGGAAAAATAAATAACTACTACTACTACAGTGTACTACTGTCACAGGTTATCGACAAAAATATATGCTCGTTTCACCTTTTACCTTTTTAACATTAAATTTTAGCATTGGCATTTATCATGAAGTACAAAGCATACCTGTAGAGAGACCTGCTCTATCTGCAGGCCCACTGGGTGCCACTTGACGGACAAATACAGTGTCCATTGGCTCTGTCTTCTGCCGATCACCATTTTCAACATGGTGGTCAAGCCCGTTAACCCCAGACTAGAGGCAAAAAAATGTGTGATGAGTGAACAGTGAATCAGAAAGCAAAGTTAAAGTGTTAGACACATGTACAGAAAAGAATATTGTACAACTAAAAGTACACATTGTTCAGGATTTGCCTTGAAACTTGAACAACTCCAAATAAAGCCTATTTTTGGCAAAAAAAATAAACTGTGCATTCCATTATACCAAATGTTCCAGATAATCACATCATAAAACATACAGTAGTGGAACACTGTACTGCTGGGTTTAATTTGCAGGTGTTGCATAAGGGCTGGAGCTTGATTTATGGGATGTTTAGACACCATAATCCCCAACTCACTAGTGGGAATTCTACCAAGGGCAAAATTAATTAGAAACCTGAGGACCAACCTCAAGATCAAGAGCCTCTATGTAACAAGTCAGTCCAGTTGGACCAGACCCTTACAGTGAATCCTGATCTTGTGATAACCTTCCCTTCAAGTTGGAAGGAGAATTTACTACAGTCGAACCCCGCTATTTCGAACTCGCTTAATTCGAAGTCCCCGCTATTTCGAAGGAAGATCAATTTCCCTTGGATTTACCCTTCCCCTTTACGCTTCCCCGGTTATTTTGAAACCCCGCCATTTCGAACTTTTTTCCATTTCCCTTGGGACTTCGAAATAGCAGGGTTCGACTGTAGTTTATCAAACTTCACATTACAAAACTCTTGCTGAATAGCAAGATTCCCACACTTTGGAGTCAAAGTATAATTAACCCTTTAAGTACCAATGGTGACCAACATCAATTTTCTCTCAACAATATTCATACCTTGTCAAGAGACTGGGTTATGAGAATTTATGAAATGATCACTAAAGAGAAAATGCTTTGACCTGCCATCAAATTCTCTCAACCAATTCTTAAAGGAAATGTATGGAGATCAGTTTGGAGAATTTGTATGTGGATATTGGGGCATAAAGGGTTAAGGCTTGTTTCAGTTTAGCCTGAATGCAGACATCTTCTGATTGTTTTCTTGGATGTAGAAAAGGAGTGATTGTGTACTGTCAGTGCTAATTGCATTCCAGTTTCCCAAGATCTTGGGAAGGACTGTGATTGACTGCCTCACGGTGAGCATTCTGAATGGTTGTTAAAAAACTGACTTCACAATGTGAGCTTTGAAATTTTCAGAAAAAGGAGTTGGCCAAACATTAATATTGTCAAACTCCTTGGCAACATTAGAGGTGAAAGGGTTTAAGTGTCTGAGGTAGTTCTAACAACAATGCTTGCCCTAACCTCGCTTGATTTTTTTATCAGCTCAGGAGGATAAACCACAAAATGCCGTAGAGTGAATCCAAAGCCATTACTCTGACGCTGCAAACTGATCAACTTGGATGGTGCTAGAAATGCTTGGTTGCTTCCAAAATCTTTGTTTTGTGTCCAGCCTAGTTCACTTTCCTAAAAAGGCACAGTAAAACTTCAAATTACTCTATGGTTAGTCAAGAAAATGAAACATACATGTACAGATTATCACTTGTAATTTAACATAAATGCACAAGCCATATTTTTTAAGGCCACAAGACACAATTCAAGCCTGCAAATAACTTTCCTTTTAGGAAGGACGTAAGCACATCCATGTATGAATACATATGGATGCACCATAATATTTGAGTACATGTACACATGTATGATCAAGTTCAAAAAGAAAATAACATGTACAATGAAGCACCAGGTTATAACTACTTTTTATAACTACTGACATTAATACTCTTTCCAAAGTTGTTTACAATGTATCATAGTCTCTATATCTTTGCAAATAAAAGCAAAAAATGCACATACTTTATACAAAAGCAAAAATATAAATAGTTTTATATGTACCATAATTGTATGTAAAGGAACAGTTCTGTGTTGTTATCTGAAGCTGTAAATGCTACATGTCACTGATCTGATTTTAGATTCACAAATTTGTCTCAGTTGAGGCAGCATATTGAAGTCAATGGGAACAAGATTGTTATATCAGTGAAGATATATTTTGCTAATTGACTGAAGAACTTTAGCCCTTAACACATTCATGTCTCAACGGTTCTTTACTGCTTGTCTGGAACCACATCTCTTGTACCACTTGTGACACCATCACCTTTGGGTCATACATGTACATGACTTTCACACCTACAATAGCTTGTACACATATACTTCAGACCACACCCAAAATGGTGCCATGGCCATGGAAACAGGCTTGAAAAAACATTGAATTTCCACAGAAAATTCAAAAGAATAAAATCCTCTTTCCACTAATTATTTGTTCTTGAAGTTTTGCTGTAATTTAACATCACAGACAAAAGCTAGCATACACTGCAACATTCACTTTGCAAAAAAATGTTTTGCCCACGCAGTTTTGGTTATCTTTGGTCAGATGATGACCAGAAAAACAGCTCGACTTACATGTATAGCTTCAAACAGTTTTTTTTTTTGGCAAATACAGACTATTTCATTGACAACTACACTCTACATATCAGAATAAAAAAGGGCCTGAAAAAAATATTGAATTCTAGCTTGTCCTTTGGGCATGCAGCTCTCCCTTTTTGCTTGCCAGGGGCCACTTCTTCCTTGTCTTAGTTAATGGTTTGGTTAGTGGATGACTTTCCTCAACCCTTGCCCTTTAAGCAAGTAAGCTTAAAAAGTTACTTGCCCAGCAAGAAAAGCTACTTGTCACGGACTACTGGACGGGACATTTTGTGAGACCTGAAGTTATTCAAGACCAAAAACAAAGTCTGAAGAGAATGAACAACTCAAGGAAGGTAAAAAAATGTGACTCTATTATTTATATTCTGTTGCCTGAAGTTACTTGGTTATCAGATGCACCCCACAATAATAACAAATTTAAAGCTATCAAGCAAAATTTTGTAAAAAGAAATGGCGAACCTTGAATCCAGAAAAAATATGGGATTATTTCACAACATGTATTTTAAAGAATATCTGATCTTGTTGCCAGGTTTTGGAAAAGATCTGAAAGACTACCGAAGAAACTAAAAGAAAAATTACCAAAAGAATATGATTGAAGGGAAAAGAAACATTTACAAAGTAAGAGGCACCCATTAAGCCCATTATCACATATCAAAAAATAAGCCTAATACAGCTTATCATTTAATACCAAGGTCATACATCTACCTGTTATTTAATTCTTTATGGCTAGGGTTAAATAATTATGAGAGTGAAATAAAGACAGAAGAATAGTAAATAAGGCTAAAAGTCATTCTATCTAGTACAATTTGAAAAATAAGTTGCCCCTGTTAAAATAATAAAGCGTTTTCCACATGAGTACTCTTGCAAATTCATCTCCAATTTCCACATCATTAGCCTGTTCGAGACAATAGCGTTTGTTTGGCCTTTGGAAAGGACGATGTGATTTTACAGTACTTTTGCGACCTAAAATAGACTTTTCAAGTTAAAATAACGATGAAAACACAAATAAGCACGACATGACATCTCTTCAAAGCTAAGCTACTCAATGCTAAAGAAAAAAACGTTAACAAAAGACGACCTCTCATGAAATATTCGCAACTCTAACAGTATTGAATCTTAATACGACAGAATCACAACACAAGCGTAAATAAAGTTGTTAGAAGTTATTGTGATATGAAATTTTAAACAATCAAACATGTTGCGAAGGCAAACGTGCGAACAGAACACACAGACTGGTTCGGGTAAATAAGGTCGAGGCCAGACACAGGATTTCCATCGGCCGTGAAAGCCAAAGAATGTTCTAAGAATTATTACTTACACTCGACAGATAGACAGAAAGAGGATTAGGAAAAATACGCTTCTCTTAATATATAAAAGTAACCACAGTCCTATAAATGCCGCTAAAACTTATGCACATTCACTTCGCGTGAGTAAACTACATCTACAACGTTGTAGCTACAATGAGCCAGTTTACAAAATGTGGCAGTCGGTGACATGAAACATAGTTAATGCAAACATAAACATACCTTTTCATACAATTTACGGCTTGTCTAAAACAACATAAAATCGTCTTGCTACTCAAAAAGGCTCTACTCGCTGTATGGCACTAGCAAAATGCTCTTGGAATCCGACGCAAGTGAAATGCAGAAACGCGAAGGAATTTAGCTCCTGCTGTAACATTACAGTGTTTAAGAATACTGATTGTCTCGAATAGGATCAACAAACCAACCCCACAACAGCTAGATTTAAAACACAAGTATCAAAACAACTTACCTCCACGTTTGCTCTAATGGAAGCCATATGTTTTTGAGCTTACGTTTTTAACCCATGACTTTGAGCCAGCGAAGGAAGAAGTAGCGAGTATGAAACAATCAAACCATACACGAAATCCCCAACAGCGGTCGATATAAGCTGATGCAGCTGATAATTACAAATTACTCGTTTATTGCAATGTAACGAATAACTCGTTTAGCACAATTTCCACCACCAAAGTAATCGTATCGTTGATCTTGTCTCACAAACGAAATCACAGATTTACGAAGACGGAGAAGAAATTGGGCAGGACTCAAAGACACGGAGTCTAAAATATTAAGCTCATATCGACTAGCCCTCACTGACCGCGATAAATACAACGTAAGCTGAAGCTACAAAGCTGGTATAAAATTCCAATTAAAAGAAATTGGAAAACAAAAAACTTGTAGCCTTCTTTATAAATGATCCAGTGGGCGTCAACAAAGAACCATGCAGCAAACACATCCGGCAAATTTTGTCGGGTTTTAGGTGCCACTGTGAAGATTGCCTTGAGTTAAAACACCAGTAAACCTTTTCAAAACAACATTCCAGCGATGGAAAACTCCATGATTTCGCGTAAACTGCACAACTGCAGATCCTCTAGACAAACAACGGGTCTATGGCAGAAGATTTAGGCCCTCGGCCTTCAAAAACTTTACAATTTGGCAGCAATTTGCCGAATAGAATGTCCACTTTGGACAGCTAATCTCTTGCTCTCGCTTTGCTGCAAAGCGCCGAATAAACCTGTCACGTGACCCAAACATTCCGATCCTTCCTTCTGATTGACTTGAAAACGAGGCTAAAAGAATAAAATATGGTGCCCGTGTCAAATTTCATAAGATTTTGATTATTCCTTTCATTCTTTTTAATTCACTCATTACCTTTTCCGGTTTTTTGGCATTACCCTTCAGCTTTCCTTGTACGTAAAACCCTTGAGGTGGAACTATCAAGATTGCACGTCCTGTGTTTCTTAATGTCATGAATATGGGAAATCATTGATAGGGATATGTCATTAGAAAATGATCGAACCCGAAAAATTTGTAAAGCAAAGAGTCCGCCGGAAATGACTTCAGATAAGATAAACTGAAGTAACTCAGGAATGATCTTTTTAGTATGAGATATAATAAATGCAACCAAATTACTTGGAGTTATTCAGAGGGAATTTTATCGCATCTAGAATATTTGCTGCATACAATCGTCTTTGTCTAAAAGATAATTTCCAGTTTAATTTTCAATTTATAAACGGATAAGCCCAGCCATGTGCCTAAGTTGAAGAGGACAGATTAAATTCGGATTTATTTACGTCATTCTCAAGGGTGTCTTGGTGAGAAAGCCACACCCGAAAACTATAAATAAACGACTTCTTTAAAGCTGTTATCATTGAAAACAGTCGGAATTCTTACTTAGATCAGATGAAATCAAGGACTCTGAAAATAGGCTCTAACTGAAACAAAATACACAAGTATCTAGAGCCGATTTTAACCTGCCATTAAAAGATAATGAATATGTATTTTTATTTGGGGGTTCTTGTTTAACGATTTTGTGTCTTAAGCATATTTTTTGAACGAATTACTTTCTTTAGCGCTGATTCAAAAGTTATGTCAACTCCCTCGCGTAAAACGGGAGACTCTCAATCAATACGGCACCAATCTCCGGCTCTCCCGCTCACCAAATCTCCCGGATAAAATTGATTTAAACTTTTCTTTGCTTTAAAGTAAAATTTAGCTTATTTCCCCCAAAAAAAATCACAGAACGGTTTCTGAAGCATTCTTGCACGTATTTCATCATCGATCATCGACAAAGATTATATACTTCCTCATTTTTGTTTGAAAACAAAAAATCATAAAAGCTAATTTTGATGGAAGTAACTCCATGTAATAAAATAATAATAATAATAATAATAATATTAATAATGATACTAAAGATAATTATAATTTCTTTATTCATCCTGATAGAAAACTGATCAGCTGAGCACAGAGGACAAGCTGGTATTCTGAACCGGTGATCAGCAATGACAACAGAAAAAAAAACATATAAAAGAGTTATGAATGCTAAAGACCTGTAAAATCAAACGTGGCCTATTACAAAAATAAAGGATATATATATATAAATACAACAGTTAAAAAAGACTAAAAGACGACGACGTTTGGATGATAGAAAGGGATAAAAAATAAAATTTACTTAAAGGTTTCCGTCACAAGACCTTCATCAGTCTTGTGACCGAAACCGAAACGTTTTAGTAAATTTTATTTTTTATCTCTTTTCATCATCCAAACGTTGTCCACTTTTGGTCTTTTTTAACTTTTTTATCGTTTGTACACCATAATCGGACCGTGAATCTTTCTTGATCCGTTTGGATAGACATCTCGTTGGCCAAGGCAGCCCAGTACATTCTAACCAGTCTATATATAAATACAACAATATAAACTGATAGAAAGAAAAGAAAAACTGCTATCTATCAGTATAGCCATGTTGCTATCCAATTCCAAGAAATACTTAAAAACCTTAGTTTTAAAACTAGAGATTGAACCTAGTTCTCTTGATTAAAGGGTTAAACCTGTTTCAGGGGATCATTCCAGTACTTGGCAGCGGCAAAATTAAACAATGACTGTCCCATCGCTGAGGACATAGTATCTCCTAAATCTAACAAAGCAGCATCACTAAGAGATCTACTATGTAATAGTGATCTCTTAACTACAATAGGTAGTTCTTGAGTTGGTCGGGACAGTTGACATTATGAACCATTTTATAAACTAACTTAAGTCCTTAAGTCTTAGAAAACGACGTCTACTCAATAGTGTTAAAAAAGCCAACTTAGTACGCATGTCCTGGATACAAGATTTGCGAGGAGCAGCTAAAATGATATACACTGCTTGATTCTGTAGACGTTCTAAACACTGCGCATTCTTTTTACCACAGTCTCCCCAAACTACACACCCATAATCATATATAGGTAAAATGGTTTGCTTGTAAATTCTTAACGAACATTTCTGCTTAAAAGGGATGAAATCCTATTTAACATTCAGTTTGGGATCAAACCTTGCAGGAAATTTATATATAAAATGTGATCATTCCATGCAGTTCAATCGATTGTTAATGACCAGCCCTAAATAAGTGAAGTGTTCGGATTATTTCATGGGTTTATTATCGATCAAGCCTGACTTGTAGTTCACGTGCAATCTTTACAGCATGGTTGGTGCCTATAAGCATCACTTCAGATTTCTTGGTATTACTTATTAGCCATTGGTGGTGAGCCAGCTGCTAGTTGATTTTCAGGTCACCGTTGATGTATTCCTCACCTCTATCAAAGTGCTTTGGACTTGAATGAACTTCACTGAGTATAGTCAGTATATAAAGCAACATAACAATATAGACAGACACTGGTTATTTCATTGACAGTCCAAGTACGGACCCTTGAGGGACATCATAAGTTATTTCCCTCTGAGAAGAGTCACAACCACAACACGAAAACAAACTGAGTTCTATCAGACAGATAGTTCCTCATCCTCGCTAGTGCTTTTCCGCTTACAATGCATGCTTGCAGCTTGTCCAGAAGAGTAGAGTGATCGATAACGTCAAACGCTATTGGAAGTTCAAGAAAAGGAAGTATAACCCTTTCTTCTTTGTCGATAGCCAGTTTCCGTGAATCGACTGTTCTGATCGATGTAGTTGTAGTAGAAGAGTTTTTTATGAAGGCACCTGAAGCTGTTGAAGGAGATCGCTTCTTAGGCATAAGCTTGTAGCTCCAAATTCATGAAAGACTTCTTGGATTTTCGAGATGCAGGGCAGGACTGAGAGAGGTCTATAGTTGTCGCACTCTTATCTCTTGTCACCCTTTGACAAGGGAGTTACCTAAGCAGTTTTCCAGAAGGTCGGGTACGTTACTTGACTGAACATGTTGAAAGCGGACTCATTGAACAAATGAGTGACGACCTGGCTAATGCGATCTTTAATGCTATGTGGGAATCCCAACAGAACCAGTAGCTTAAGACGCATCGGTTGTGTATAAAGCTTTATACACGTCCTGCTCTCGTAAATGCGGCACATTGGGCACGTGATCATGAGGACTGGTGATTTCCTTCGTTTGATTGTTAAGGTCAATCGTACGCATGAGTCTAAAAGAGACGACGCAATGGTTGTGAAATATTGGTTTAGTGATTCCACAATTCTTGGTTTTCACGTGACGTCACCAAAATTCAAACTAAGAAACTATCACTTCTTCTGAGCTTCTACTTTAATGTGGTATTACAGCACCTTAAAAACCTTTATACAAACAAATTGTCGGTTCAAAAGGCCAGGGTGCTTCGTTTTGCGACACTGGTCGCTTGAAATTCCAGACTTTTGCATGACACAGCATTTAGCTGACGGCCAGAAAATGAAAGCTCTTATGTGGGTTAAAAACATTACCGATTTTGGAAGATTTTGCTATTCTTGTCTCAGAATAAATATTACTTTAATCTTTATGAGTTCCTCAAGCGAATAATTCACGCATTAGTAGGAAAACTCAAAAACAGATGTTTCTGTTGGTTTCCCGCGGTCATATATTTGTGCCCCTGAAAAGGGACACAAACATGACGTCTCCATACAAAGTTTTAGAAATCTGGGTAAAATGTTTTCCGAATATTGCGCATATGAAATATTGAACAGACCTCGTTTCGGAGATGTTTATAGCCATCCCGTGTAAAACGTCATTAAATCCTAAAGTAGGTTACGCCCAAGTTTTAACGGTAGAATATTCATAATGACCGGATGGTTGTTACAGATACCATATTTGTAAGCACTTGTTCGTACCCAGGCTTCACTGAGGCTGAGTCTATTTTAGGTTGCGCCCTCTTAACGTCGAACGCAATAATGTTCAGCAGAATGAGTTAACTTTTGGTGTTTTTTTTTTTCTAACAATATATTTTATAAGAATATCAAGGCTAAATTTTGCGAAATTGTAAGAATATTTTAAGAACGAACCAAAGGCTGACGGATATAATATGTGTGTTAAAATCTGTAAATACACTGATGCAACTGTATGTTTTTAACTTAGCGGTAAAAAATAGATCCCTTTTCTAAACGGCAAACAGATCTAGACAGTAGACACTTGTAATTGATACTTCGATAAATTCTATAACTGAAATACGATATTAAGCTATGAGTGAATTTCAGAATAGATCTATTCAAGAATATTCTCAGCCTAATATCGGTGGGAAAATAAGAATTTTCAGCCTGGACCGGAAAAACAACATTCCCTTTTTGATAAATGGTATAAGAATAACTCAAAAGCGAATATTACATTTAGATGAGTATTAGATCTATTACCCGAAGCAGCTCCAAATACTAGCGAGAAAGCTGATGTCCCGGATCTTGCAATAAATGGGAACCAGAAGTTTGATGTCTCGCTTGATGGAACGCTTCTGTCTGACAGAACTTGTTTGAAAGCCTTTGATTTAACAACTGTAGTACGGTCGGAGTTAGCTGAACTGAACTCAAGTTATTATTTTTTCTCTTTCAATGTTCTGAGTCGACAAATTCGTATAGCGGGAGTTCAAATAAAGGTATTCATATTTGTTGTGTCAGACAGAAGCGTTCCGCATCGAGCGAGAGGATCGAACATCCGGGTTAAGCTAGCTAATATTTATTGAATAAGTCATGTTCAATTTTAGGCTTCCTGCTTCAGATTGGTTCTCTTGTGATAACTGCATACGACCACAAATGCTGTGATAATAATAAACAGATG